TATTCTGTATTTCCCCTTCAACTGAGGGTTGAAAGTAGCTTTTCTTATTTCGGAATAGTCACTCAATCTGTGCCCTTAATCATATTCCCTCCACACACCATAACTACACCCCAGGATCCAGTATTCCGTTAATTATCCTGTTTTTCTGACATTTTTCAATCTCTCCCTATCTAGTGACAGTCTCACCCTCTATCAAAATGCTCAAATCATCCTACGAAGGAAAAAAAAAACTCTTCCACAACCAGGCTCCCATCAACTGTTCTCTCCCCTTTTATTTTCAATGCAAAACTTATCCAAAAGGCATTCTACACTTTGCTGCCTCTACCTACTCACTTAATACTCATTCCTCAACCCTTAAACACCTGTATTCTTCCTTGAAATCCACACCAAAGCTCCTTTCTCTAAAGTTACCAATAGTCACTATTAATAAATTCAATGATTTTTCTTAACTGAAATTAAGCTTTTATGTTTATTTGATTATAAATCAACAGGCATTCACTGTCAGAAACCTAAATATAAAAAAGGATATGAAGAAAAGTAAAATCACCCATAATCCTATCATCCAGAAATGGCTGCTGTAAAATATTGTTTCATTTCTTCTCAGCCTTCTATGTGCCAACATCTATCTATCCATACTCCGCCCCCATGCACACACACAAATTGGGATTGCATTAGTTCTAGTTTTCTATACTTTTTTTTTTTTTCAGTATAACTTTACATCATGAGTATTACTCAGGCCTTTAAAGTATAATCTTAAATGACTCAACAATAACCTATTGAATGGATACGACCATTTCTCAGTTACTGAGGATTTTGTATGGTTCCCATTTTTTATTCTGTAAATAAAACCCCAATAATAATTCTAGTACACAAATCTTTGCATGCATCTCTAATTTGTGTGTACTTCCTTAAGAAACAGTCTTGGATTTTGAAATTTCTGGGTAGAAGGCTTAAGCTAAGGTTTTTTGGTCTTATTGCCAATGTTTTCCAGGAAGTTTACAGAAATTTATACTCCCAATATCTGTATATGGGACTGCCTATCTCAACCACATCCTCACCAACATTATATTGTTGGTGAGTATTTTTTGTTCAACAGTAAGGGAAAGAAAAAAAAAAAGCTATCCCATTAGACTTTTAACCTCACTAGCAAGCAAATAAATGAAAATTAAACATATTCTTCCTACTTTATTTCTGCACATTTTCTTCTGACCCCTTTCTTTTCCTTTTAACTTTTTGACACAATTTCAGGTTTACAGAAAAACTCACTCTTTTTGACATTTCCAGCTTCTATGGCTGCTTTTTCCTTCAAAGCCCTAGAACATGGAGGCTCCCCAGGGCTTTCTTTGACTCCCTTTTCTTTCCTTACTCAAGTCACTTCTTTGCCAATTCCATTCACTCAGAGCCAAACTGAGCCCTCCACCATCCGCCAAAGCTCAAGACCCAAATTTCTGCTGTCATACCCATCTTGATATCCCAGTAATGCAAAACTGACCTTCCCTTTTCCAATCTGATGGTTTCTCTCTTTCTTATCTGAATTAACAGCTAAATATTAATCATATTCACCTTTGGAATTTTCTTTATCTTCCTTCCCTCTCCTAGTTCAGGAACTCTCACCAAAGCCAGTGCAAAGGCCTTCTGATTATTGTCCTTACCCCTGATCTTCCCTACAATCTACATTTTACAAGACTTCTGCCACAGCCTTCTTCCTAAAACGCAGATCTGGGCACATCATTCCCTCTGTTTCTAAGTCTTCCATAATTTCCTTCCACCGAGAAAATCCACATTTGTTAAGATAGTGTTCCAGCCTTTCCACATGACCGAAACCCACAAATGTCTCCAGAACTGTCCTCCAGAATTTACCTTTTCAAAACATCATACACTCTACAACTAGCAATGATTCACTAACATCCAACATTGCCCTGCAATCTTTACTCATACTAGTCCTTTAGTTCCACAAATCCTTAACAAAATCTAACCTAGTAAAAGGCCAAGTTCAAAAGCCCCTTCCTCCCTCCCAGAAGCCTTCTGTAACTTCCCTAGCCAGAAGTTCTTTCCTCTCTTCTGCAGGATCAGAGTGCTTCATTTGTACCTCTAACAGCATTAGTTATATTCTGCATTATACACTGAGGGCATATATAATGTAGATTCCAAGTCACTGAAAATTTATGTGTTTTTTTGTTTGTGTTTTCCAAATAACCAGCATAAAGTAAACGTATGCACAGCTGAACTGACTTATTCAAACAATTAGAAGAAACTGAGTCTGTATCTTAGCTGGAAAAAAAGGGGAAATATTGGCTTTCTTTTTAAGACCTAGAACTCATCATCCATAAAGGTTTCCTAAAACCAGTTTTAGGAAGAATTAATTCCTGCTCTCTTCAGCATAGTAACGGATACAACAACTTAATTCACTGCAAATTATTTACTGACTTGACTACTATGCGCTTGGTCACACATTCAACAAATATTTAGTGAATACCTATTATGTGTTCTAGCTACTAAGGATACAACAGTGAAAAAAACAGATAAAAATCTCATCCTCATGCAGTCTATAGTCTAATGGTGGATGAAAGACAATAAATAAATAATTTAAAAGATATGTGCAATGGTGATAACACTATGAAAAGGAGGAACAGGGAAGAAGGAAAAAAAGTTCAGTGACTGGAGCGGGGTGGGTTTTTAGTGGGGCGGGGAGCTGCTAATGCATATAGGATGAGGAAACCTGGCCTCACTGAGCAGGTAAGTATACAGAATCAGGTGAGGAAGCAGATCATTGGGATATCTGGGCCAACATCACTGAAGACAGACCTTATGATTTAGCTGTCTCAGAATCACAATAGAGGGTCCTGGACAGAGCTGGAGAAAAACACAGAACAAAATCCTAACTCACAAAAAAAGACCAGACTTACTGGTCTAACAGAGACTGGAGAAACCCTGAGAGTACGGCCCCTGGACACCCTTTTAACTCAGTATTGAAGTCACTCCTGAGGTTCACCCTTCAGTCAAAGATTAGACAGGCCCATAAAACAAAAGGAGACTAAATGGGCACACCAGCCCAGGGGGCAAGGATGAGAAGGCAGGAGGGGACAGGAAGCTGGTAATGGGGAACCCAAGGTCGAGAAGGGGAGAGTGTTGACATGTCATAGGGCTGTCAACCAATGTCACAAAACAATATGTGTATTAATTGTTTAATGAGAAACTAATTTGCTCTGTAAACCTTCATCTAAAGCACAAACGAGAGGGAAAAAAAAAAGATTTAGCTGTCTCAATCATAACTGTCTATCAGTCAGTGTTTACGTAGTGCCTACTGCTATATTTTGATACCTAGATAGTACTGAAAGGTTCTGACAATTGACATTATCTAACTTTCATTTTAAAAGGATCACTCTGGTTGTTGTGTTGAAAAAAGACTGTAAGGGGGTACTGCAAGATGTGGAATCACCTTGCAGAAAGCCATTTGGCCTTTGTTCTGGGTTCTTTCTAGCTTATCAGCACCTGAGGCTAATGAATGGGGGCTGATCAGACACAGAGGGAACACGAGACAGCCCAATGCTGACTAAGGTGGGATTCGCCCACTATGCCCTGGCTTAGTGCAGGGGCAAAAATGGGGAAATCAAAATATAATAATCTAGGTGAGATAATGGTGGCTTGGATCTGCGTGGTGGCAGTGGAGACAATAAAAAGTAGTCAGATTCCAGATATACTTTGAAGGTATAGCCAACAGGACTTTGTGAAGGACTAGATGTTCACTGTGAAAGGAATCATGGATTAGATGGAAGGAGAAATTGTCCTTTACTGAGATTTTAAAGACAATGAGGAAGAGCAGATGTGTTGAGATTAGGAGTTCAGTTTGGTGCAAGGTAAGTTTGAAATTCTTGTAAGATATTCACGTGGAAATGTTGAGTAGAGCAGCTGGATATAGAAATCTATAGTTCAAGAGAGAGGTCTAGACTAGAGATACAAGCAAAGTGAACAAAATGTACCATGGTAGTGGGAATGATTAATTGGATCAAATTCTGCTATTAGGTAAATTTGCAACAGATATCATTGGTGACTTTCAAGAGCTGTTTCAGAGGAATGGTAGGAGCTAAAGGCTGCCTTAAGTGGATTCAAGAAAAAAATGGGTGCAGACGAATTTAAAAAAAAAAACAGAGATAGAAATTCCTTCAAGTAATTTCATTATAAAGGGAAACGGAGAAATGGGAGTGTGGCTAGAGTGAGATGAAGGGTCAAAGACAGGGTTTCCCCTAAACGTGGGAGAAATAAAAGTATGTTGGTGGGAATAATCCAATAGACAGGCAGAAACTGATAATCTGGGATTGAGCAAGGGGACAACTACTGAAGCAATAACCTTGAATAGATGAAAAGGGATTAATGAGATATACACAAAAAAGAGTCCAGTGAAAGTAACGGCGGCAGTGAACTGACATGTTTTCTAGCTTATAAAGTAATTTTTAGTATTTTTATCTCTTTTGATGTTTATAATAATCCTCTATTGTAGGTATCACCCCATTTATTTAGAGAAAAGCAAAGAGTAGCTCAGAGACATTTGGTAACTTAGCCAAAGTCACATGCTATTAAGCAGCAGAGCGAGAATACAAACCTAAGTCTTCAGGCTCTAAATTCCTTTTTTTAGGTTTACTTTAGTTTATAATAGAGACATGCTGAAGAAAGCTTCCTTATCTATTAATTATAGTATCTTATTTTTTCAAAGTATTATCAAAACTACACTTTGAAATATCTTAGAAAGATGTGGCATTGTACTATTAATTGCAATTAATTATTTTAAACAAAGTTACCACTAACAGTATAGTGTAACAGTAAAAATAATTTAGTTATTTTTAAAACAATGTTCATGGGCTTTCTCAAATTATGAAAAGATCATGTTCTTCAGAAAACATCTAGGAAATAGAGAAAAGTTTTAAAAAAGAACGAAGTTTACCCAAAATACCACCAACCCCTCAGCTGACATCATAGTTTGTTTCATTCCAGAAAAATAGTACCTTAAAATAAGGTGCTTCTCTACCCAACTTCTGGTGGTTCCTGACTTCTACTGAGAGAATGTACATTCTTTGATTTATAATCAAGGCAAATGTGTCATCAAAGATACTCAATTGTGGTTTCTGGTATCAAAGGAACAGACGAAGCAATCAGAGTGGTACATCTAACACATCTACACAGAGATTTTTTGGTCTTTGCATTTCTTACCTGGTTATTTTCTTCATCCTCAAATACAAAATCTTGCTGCATAACTTCATTGTCTAAATTAGTGCTAGCCACAGGTTCTGAATACTCTCTGTTACTCTCACTGGCATTAATAATACCATCAGCAATATCAACCCTAGTAACGAAGATTAAAAAATCATGTCAGGCCAAATGCTGAATATGTAATGCCTTTAAAATAAATACATACCAATAATGATCTGAAACTTTTACTTGTTCAAGAAAATGTGTCCTCTTCATAAAAACCCACACTGTCTTTGTTCGCTAAGTTAGATTATTAAGTTTGCTAAGTTTTTTTTTTTAACTCTCTTTGGGATTTTGTGAAGGACCTTGTCTGCCACTCCTTTGAAAATTTCCAAAAGCAAATGAATGGCTTTGAAAATATTTTATGTGCCAAAATGATTTCCCTTACGAATGCACACTCCCAACCATAATGACTTGTTTATTCTGATGGAAATACAAGTCTAGTACTAGACACCACAACATCCAACTCCTTATCAAGTACAAAAGGAATAGCTTCCTACTGCAGATTTTTTTATCTTAAATTGTTTAGAATATGCATCTTTGCTTATAAAGATGATACCACCCCCAGTCATAGAACATGAGTTATTTCCCCAGTGATGAGATTAAGTATATTGTCTGAGCATGAGCATAGGTTTACAGGATCCCTCGTTAAGCTAAAGGCCAAAAGGACAAACTCCCAAAGAATATGCTACTACTATATCCTTTGAAACATCTTCCCACTATTTCCAATTTTTAGACACTGCTTTTTTTCTTCATATTTAGCTGAACTACTCCTTATAGATTCTAGTTGTATCGGTTCTAATCATGGCTTCAAAGCATACAAACCAGGGCCATCACATATAATGGCACAGGCTGGTAATGCCATCCACGGAAACTATGGTGTCTACATGGCACTCCTGCAGTTGTACAATATGGTATTCCTAAAATAAACATATTCTGATCGTTGATTTTTATATCTGTTAATATTTTTCGGTTTCATTCCATATTTAATAGCTATTCTAGTGCACTAGATATATTTAAGGAGTTCCTAGGTGGCATAAACAGTTAAGTGCTGGGCTACTAATCAAAAGGTTGTTGGTTTGAACCTACACAGAGGCACCCTGGAAGATATATTTAGCTCTTCTAAAATCTTCTTTAAAAAAAAAAAAAATCACTCTACCCAATCCTCTATTTTTTTTCTTTAAACTTTCCTGTTGGGTAGATCTTACTCATCTGTCTGCAAAATGAAAACTGATACGTGAAAAACATTAAATCATTACATTGTGGTCTCAGAGGGAATCACATATATATCCTAAAATGCTGAGGTGAAACAATAGGAAAAGAGGTGAGGCTTTTCCTTAATTTCATAGTACCAGGTTAGAGAAAAAGTGGAGGAACCTCACTAATCGTAGGTGTAATTAAATCACACACGTTCATGTATTAACAGCTAACCTAAAAAAGGTGTTAGGGGGTCTAGTGGCAGGGAATGATAATTTAAATAACAAAGAATGATTCTGCTCACCTTTTCACTCAATGATCACATGCCCTAGAGTGATGTCAATCTGTTGTCCCTGTACCTACCTGTCTAGATCACTGCATACCTCTCACAGTGTGACTGTATCTTACACTAAGTATGAGTCTCATTTTTAAAGGTTAAGTATTTTTCATATAACACAGTCCCTAAAGGTAATACTTCACCTGGTATTCAGAGAGGAAAGACTAGCTGGGTTGGACTTAATAAAAGGTACTATTCAAAGTAATTTAATGGAAGATCTATGAAATTTTCAGTGTTAAGTATATATAATTTATAAACTAGTATATATAAAGTCATTTTTCACACTGACTTTCAGAAACCCCCAAGTCAGATGAGACCCCATTATTTTAAGTGAACATACAGTTTTTTTAAGATAACAAAACAATTTTATAACCCTTAATACATAACAGTAAAATGCTTGAAAAGTTTCTTACTGGTTATTAGAGCCTTCCCCATCACAATTAATACTTCCTGCTTCATTATTACACACCAGACTTTGCTGTTGTAAATTCTTAAGATCATGATCTAGGCTGCTCTGCAGATCAAAAAGGTGTTGTTCCACAGCTGCTCTAATTGTTCTTTCTAAAATGCTACAATAGAACACATTTTAGTAAGAAGCAGTCACCTTAATTAGGTATTTGGCCACATAAACATAAATTTGAAAATCAGTATTATTATGGTGGTTAAATGGGTAAACTGAAATATAAAAAGAAACATATAAAAGGATACATGACACTGGCTCAAATTTTTAAATGAAATTTGTCCAACTAGATGATCCTATACAAACCAATCACAATGTCACTATTATTGTTGGGGGTGAGGAGGATCAGTTGTCCCAATAATTCATTCCTCACTACTATTTGGAAATGCATTTAAAGACAGACTTTTCAAGGGTACATTTAAAAGCAAAATAATTTACCAACACTCAGCTAAATAAAAGGCACTATAAGGGCATTATCCATATTTTACATGAAGTCTTCTTTTTTTTTTTTTTTTTTAAGAAAACTTAGTAAAGAAAGCTCTATCAACATTTTTCAATTATTTCACAGGATCACAAAAAATCATCTAAAAAAAGCTCATCTTTATTTTGTATATTAGTTCAGTGAGCTCCTTCTTTATTTGTTCCTATTTCAGTACATAAAATACTAGTTTCACGGTCTTATAAACAGTATTTCCTCTAAAGTGAGCACAATGAATACACGATTTATTTCTACAGCTTAGGAATATTTTAAAAATTTAAAAATGTGTCTTCTTTAAGTATTCTACTTACTCTGCAGAAGCTGGTAAGATGCTGATGGGAGACATATGAGCACTGCAATCAAAAAAAGAAATTAGCTATAAAATTTTTCAATACTAAATGGCTACAAAATGTGCTGAAAACTGCCACAGCTATATTACCTTGACACAACCAGGACAGCATACACTAAGCTTCATGTTTTCAATTACATACCAGGCTAGAAATATTTTCTGAATCTGGTTGTGAAAGGTTTCAAACATTAACCAAAGAAAAAAAATGAGATAACGTATCACTAACAAGACCAAAAACAAAAGTTAATATTTACTATGGGCAAGGAGCCTGATATGCCTTTATCTCATTTAATAGTTTTTAATACTCTAGGAATTACAATTATTTTCCCCTTTCCACAAAACTGAAGCTCAGATATTAATTAACCTGCCCAAATGCACACAGCTTCAAGGATAAGAACTGGGACCTGACTGAGGTTGGGGACTCCAAGGCCCCTGCTATTAACAACTACGCTCTGTCTTCTAAAACCAAAAAAAAGTTACTAAAAACAAAAATACATACAGCATAGCATGAGTATCTCTAACAGAGTGTGATTCTAATTTTCTAAAGAAACTATTTTCATACAAAAAAAAAAAAAAAACCCACTGCCTTCAAGCTGATTTTGACTCATAGCGATCCTACAGGACACAGGAGAACTGACCCATAGGGCTTCCAAGTCTGGAATCTTTATGGAAGCAGACTGCCACATCTTTCTCTCGTGGAGCAGGTGGTGGGTTCGTGCTGACCTTTCAGTTAGCAGCCAAGCACTTACACATCTTTCTCTCATGGAGCAGGTGGTGGGTTCGCGCTGACCTTTCAGTTAGCAGCCAAGCACTTACACATCTTTCTCTCATGGAGCAGGTGGTGGGTTCGCGCTGACCTTTCAGTTAGCAGCCAAGCGCTTAACCACTGTGCCACCAGGGAGTCTTCATACAAAGACCCTTAAAAAACACACATTTAATATTATCTATACAGAATCTATTAAAAAAAAAAAAAAAAAACATTGCTGTCTGGTCAATTCCAACTCATGGCAACCTCATGTGCTACACAGTAGAACTGCTCTATAGGGTTTTCTTGGCTGTAACCTTTACGGAAGCAGATCACTAGGTCTTTCTTATGTGGCATCACTGGATGGGTTTGAACCACCAACCTATAGGTTAGCGGTCAAGCACAAACCATTTGTCCTACCCAGCAACCTTTACAGATATCTATACAACTGTCTGTATCTGTTACACTGTATATAAATATCCATATGTTCGTCTACATGTCTGTCTACCTTTGGATATACAGTTGTTGTTGTTAGGTGCCATGGAGTAGATTTTGACTCATAGTGACCCCATGTGACAAAGCAGAACTGCCCCATAGGGTTTTCTAGGCTGTAATCTTTATGGGAGCAGATTACCATGTCTTTGTCCCACAGAGCCACTGGGGAATTTGAACCAGCAACCTTTCCATTAATAGCCAACTGCTTAACTGTTGCGCCACAAGGGTTCCTCAATATGAAGATATATATAAATAGATGAAGCCAACTACATCATCTGGTGCTCACTTGGAGAAACAATGACTTATTCAAATGCTGAGAAAAAAATTAGTTGTATTGAATTTAAGTGAAAAGTAGTATTAATGGATACAGGTGGTTATTTAAAAAACCATCTATCAGATAGGAGGTTAACATATGTATAAATGACACTGTATTCCTAAGCACATCTGATACCAGCGCCATCACACAGCTGTAGAGAAGAGTGATTTTCATGTCAGTTGCTTCCTGACCTGTACAGTGACGCCACACAATAGCAGAACCTCCCATCTGTCTTAAAAAACTTACTACTAGCCCAACAAAAGCACTGCATCCCAGATAGCATGAAGACTTCAATGCTGGTCCTGTATTCCTCACCAGATGCAACAGCATATGCCACTAGAAAGAGGATATTCTCAAGCAACAAAGAGAAAAGACGCAATGGGCACTGTAAAATTCAGACTAACTCATTTACTGTGCTGGTGACAGATTCTCCTTGGCAAATTTTGCACCACAGTATCTACTGATACTTATAAAAATACAGATAAAATCTTAATTTTTACCACCATTATCAGGGAAATGCAACTTAAACCCGTATCTACTTCAACTTAAATTATTTTCAATCTGTTTAAGCAGAATGAAAACACCAAGTGTGAAGCAATTAAGATTCTCATATAATGCTGGTGGGAATATAAAATGTTACAAATACTTTGGAAACCAGTTTGGCAGTTTTATATAAAACTGAACATATACTTAGCCAGCAACCTACAACAGCAGTCCTGGGGATTTACCCAAGAGAAATGAAATCAGAAGTCCAAGCATAGCAACTTTATTCATAACAGCGAAAAACTGAAAACAACCCAAACAGAAGAATAAACAAAGTGCGGTATGTCCATACAACAGAATTATCACCAATGTCATGGATTGAATTGTGTCCCCCAAAAATATATGTCAACTTGGCTAGGTCATGATTCCCAGTATTATATGATTGTCTACCATTTTGTAATCCGATGTGACTTCCCTATGTGTTGTATATTCTATCACTATGATGTAATAAAATGGATTAGCAGCAGTTATACCGATGAGATACACAAAATTAGACAGTGTCTTAAGCCAATCTCTTTTGAGATATAAAAGAGAAAAGCAAGCAGAGACATGGGAACCTCATAGAAAGCAACACCGGGAGCAGAGCGCGTCCTTTGGACCTGAGGTTCCTGCGCAGAGAAGCTCCTGAACCTAGGGAAGACTGATGCATCACAAGGACCTTCGTCCAGAGCCAGAGCCGACAGACAGAGAAAGCCCTCCCCTGAAGGTGATGCCCTGAATTTGGACTTGTAGCCTACTAGACTGTGAGAGAATAAATCTCCCTTTGTTAAAGCCATCCACTTGTGGTATTTCTGTTATAGCAGCACCAGATGACTAAGACAACCAAACAGTATTCTATAAAATGAGCAAACAACTGACACATGCAACAACATGGATGAATCTCAAAAATACTATGCCAAGCAAAAGAAGCCAGATGCAAAAGAGCACATACTATGTGAGATCCCATTTATATGAAATTCTAGAACAGGCAAACTAATCCACAATGACAGAAAACAGACTAGTGGTTGCCTGAGACCAGGGGTGGGGGGAGATTTACTGCAAAGGAACATAAGTGAATTTTGTGGGGTAATGAAAATGGTCTGTATCTTTTATTTTTAGAATTTTTATTGTGCATTAGGTGAAAGTTTACACAGCAAATTAGTTTCCCATTCAATAGTTTATATGTTCCATGACATTGGTTTCATTCCCTACAATGTGTCAGCACTCCCCCCATTTCCATCCCAGGTTCGTTGTTTCCTTTCATCCCAAATTGCTATTGCTACCCTTCCTACCTTCTTATCTTTGCTTTTGGGCAAATGTTGCCCTATTGATTTCACATAATTGCTTGTTCTACGGAGCACGTTCCTCTTGGGTGTTATTGTTTATTATAGGGCTGTCTATGGTTTGGCTGAAGGGTTGTCTCCGGGAATGGCTTCAGTTCCAGTTCAGAAGGGTGTGGTCTGTATCCAGACGGTGGTGGTAGTTACAGGTATATTCTATGGGATATGTGTATGTGTATGTAGGATATGTATTTGTCAAAAACTATGAAACTCTATACTTAAAATGGACGCATTTTAGTGCATGAAAATTATACTCCAATAAAGTTGATTTTAAAAGGAAAAAAATTCAGTAAATGGAAAAACTAATCTACGGGTACTAGAAGTCAGGATAGTGGCTACCTTCAAGAAGAGGGAGGAGGGTAGCATTTGAGAAAGAAAAGGAGAGGGTTTTCTGATCCAGGTGGTAGTTATACAAGTTCACTTTGAGATAATCCAATGAGCTCACGGTTTGTAAACTTTTCTGTATGCATGTTATTCTTCAATAAAATGAATCATTTTTAAAAAGTAAATTTAAATTAGCTTTTGAAGATCCTCTCCAAAATGTGCCAGCAGAAACTCTAACCAACATGCAGAACAGCATTTACCAGGTCAATATTCTCAGGATTCACTGTGGGAAACCAAATGAACATCATTTACCATTCATCCAGCAACCTTCAGATCTCCCCTACAGCAAGAACATTAGTAGCAATTTGCAGAATTGTTTTATCAGACAACAGTAAGGCACCTTGGCTTGGCACGCATAACCCCTCCTTGCTTAAAAGAAAAAATTAATGAACTGCCAATACTATACTAGTTTTAGAAGACTAGATTATTCTTAGCTCTAAATGCCTTCAAACTAATCCCCTCAAGGAGAGTGCTTAAGAACATTTTCATACTTACAAAGTTTGAGGGGACTTCCTTTCTGAAATAAGGAAAAGCTGGGGGGAAATAACATATTTGTGCACACAGAATATTGTAGTCATCAGTTTATTTCTAGTAATTTCATGTGAGCTGAAAGTTAAATAGTGATTCTTGCAGAAAAAGACAAAAACCAAAAAAGATAAATGAGGCTTTCCCTAAAGAGCCCTTAAATGTTAGCTAGGATATTAGATCTTTTTCTGATATTTTGCTGTAGTAATCTGTTGTTTATATTTTTAATTTCAGTTAGAAATTGGTGTTGAATTATAAAAGTTAAAACTTTATGTGGTGTAATCTGTTACATTTTCCTTAGTAATATTTATAATCTCTACTAAACTTAGAAAATTCCTTCCCTACCGAGAAATATTAGCTTTGTTTTTAATATCTAACTGCAATCCACTGGCAATGTAGTATATTGAATGGTGTGAGGAACATTTATAGATCCAACACTCTTCTCTTCACCATTTAATCTGTGATTTCTAGTGGGCTTTTGTTTTATCTTTATACCAAATTCTCAACTATTTATTCTATTAGTCTGTTATTAAAGCTTTCATCATGTTTTAATTTTTTGTAGAGTTTGTATCCTCTCTGTGTTCTTTTTTTCAAATTCACCATAGTTAATGTACTTATTCTCCCACAGGAAATTTTTCACCTTTTTTTGTCAGATTAGATTATCGCTAAATGGGAAG